GAACTATTCTTATTGAAAACTAAGGACGTGCTTATTGAACGGTGGGATAACGATATTATTTCCAGTTTAAATGATTAAGCATAATATTAACACAGAATATTATATTCAGTGTGTAATCTTACATAATAACTTTTAAACACAGTGAAATAAAACGAACTGTTAAATTTCTCATTTAGCCCTAGTTCATGTTTTTATCACATTTCTGATCACCTAGAACAAAGAAATTTTCAGAGAATATAAAGGAACAACCTAATGGTACAATACCACACAAAGATGCATCACAATGTCCAAACCTTTTAGATCTTCATCTACTAAACAAATGTTATGTTAGGAAGACATGTCGGTTTATATAATATTCTTCATCATGGATTACTTTGAAATTTTGGTTCATTTATACACATCATTTAGTTTATTGATAACATTTATATATGTATATAGAACACATTCAATTTTAATGTATATTGTTGAATGTTTTCTCTTTGTTGGATAATCATTATTCAAAACATGAAAAATAACAACAGAAAGTGCATGAAATATTGTTCACCAATAAATGCAAATATATGTCACATAGTTATACAGTTGTCATGTATGAAAATATAATATTTGACTTGGCTTATTAATATGTTTAGTGACACTGTTACTTGTGAATTATGAGGAATAAAACAAACAAGCCCCCCAGTGGCACAGCGGTATATCTGCGGACTTACAACGCTAGAAACCGGGTTTCGACACCCGTGGTGGGCAGAGCACAGATAGCCCTTGTGTAGCTTTGTGCATAATTAAAAACAAACAAAGAAAAATAACAACAACTAATAAGTGTGGTGAGTTCAGGCTCCAAATGTACTCTTACTTTTAGTCTTACCTGCATAAACTGTGTCACCAAGATCATACTCTACAGGAACACTTGGGAAATCTTTTAAGTTTTTTCCGCTGAGGTTTAGCACCCCAGTTACACTGGTTTCTTGAAAAATTCGACCTAACGTTCGGGTAGACTGATGAGTCTCATTTTGACCACTTAGAGTAAATGTAAATTTCCCCATTCTTGTCTATCCGTCATGTTCTGTGTCTCAGATGTGAGTGAGCTTTGCTATGCATCATGGGACTGTTGGCAACGTTAAGTGTACTACGGTTACTATATACAAGACGAGGTTATACTCAGTGGTTAATGGCTTGGAGGTCGCATTGAAAAAAATCCGAAAAAACAAACTTTTTTGGCACCAACTTTAAGAACGTGCTATTAACTGCATTATATTATATAAATATACTTGCACAAGCACACGTGTTGAACATTTAATGTGCAACGAAACAATGCAAGAAAGATATATACATCGATTAATATATATTCTTTCTATATATTTGTGTGTGTGTGCATATACTGCCAAATTTGAAAGATTGAAATGAGACAATAGAAATAAGACTTACTGCAAAATTTGTTTAAGATACAAATTTGTTGAGAACAAAAAATAGTATTAAGTTACAATTAATATCTACCGAAATAACTTCTAAAGTCCAACTGCTCCAGAGAAGTGGTGATGATTTGCTAAATATATAAGTCAGTCTTACTGAAATTAATAAAACTTTAGTTGATGTCACCTATGATTAACTGTCATTTCTTTGAATAAGTATCATTGCAAGTAGCTAATAACATGCATTCCTTAACATGGATTTAACTTACATTATATATTATGTATCATTCATTAACCTTCTCCTCTCGTTATTAGTTTTTGTTATTAGAATTTAATTATCATTTTGTTAAAGTGTTTAATTTTAATTACTTTGAATGAATAAAATATAAGTATATTTAATGAGATTCTTCTCAGTACTACCTCTTAACTTAAAGTATTACATGATGTATCTTACTCAAACTTTTTTGTCTCAGAAATTTTTGTTTGCAAAAAAGTGTTGGATTTCTTTAGCTTTTATTTCATAATTAATAATAACCTTGAAATATAAAAACAAAACTTGTATAAACTTCTTGAACCATAAATACTTGAATTGTTGTTTTCTTAGTGCAAAGTTACACACTCAGTCGACCGCGGAGAATCGAACCCGGATTTTATCATCGTTGTTGGATATACAAGACTGTCCAGTTTAAGAATTATTATTTAGTTTATTTAATGATTCAATATTTAATGATTAGTTAGTTTTCGTAACAAGGGTGTTAAAAGTTAATTATTTTAGAAGCGATGGCCATGAGAACTTTGGATGGGAGTCGTATGTTGTTTATGCAGTTTAATTATTACTAGGCTTTTGTAATATTGTTGACGTCATCTTACTCGAAGCTTCTAAGTTTTCCTCGTTATGTTTAAAATTATTGTTACTAGAGGGCTAGATATTTCTAGATTTTTCTTTCGCGTGTTATAAATACGTGCAGATATAGTAAGTTAAGTTAAGTTAGTGAAGGTAAAAGTGAAAAAAGTGAAGGTAGACTGCGTGGTTTTTAGTTTAGTTATAAAGGGCGATTTATAAAGTGAAAGTTTCACGGTTTGTATTGTAACAACAGAGATAGAAAAGAATGATTTATCTTATCAAGTGGGTTCTAAAGTACTTGAACCAGACCTGTGTGAATTTTGACATAAAAGATAATTATTTAAAACTCTGGATACGACTGTGGTAACCCATGAGGTAATATAAGTGAATTTATCACTGATTCTATTGTGTTAAAAGAGTAGAGAAGAAATAATTCGCCTTGTCAATTAGGTTCTAAAGTAACTGAACCAGCCTGTGTGGACTTTTTACGAAAAATAGAATTATTTAAAGCTCTATATTCAACTGTAGTAACCAATGGTGTAACAGTTTTTTGCATACGTTTGACTTGTTTGGAATATATCATTATAAAACAAGTGGATTGTGTGCTATCCAAGTATTGTTGAAATTTATCGCCAACAAGTCACAGACACTTACTGTAAAGAATCGCGGCCTTATACAAAACTTGACAGTGGTAAACGGCAGTAAAATAAGATGTGAACGACAGCAAAAGTAGGCCTATATACGCACAACTGCAGTGGTGGCGAAAATAGCGTAAAGATTAAAATCATGCTATATAACCATATTGGCTGATTTTGATAAATAGATAGAGAGAGGTGAACGACTTGGACTAAAAGATAGTAATTTACTAGAGTTTGTTAAACAACAACAACTAGAGAGAGAAGAGTGGCAACAGAAGAGAGAGGAAGAAAGACTAAAAGAAGAAAAGGAGAGACTGGAAATAGAGATAATAAGAGAACAAAAAGAGAAAGAAGAAAATGAGAGACTGAAAATAGAGAGAATAATAATACAAATTGAAAAAGAAGAAAAAGAAAGAGAGAGATGAGAGACTGCTTAGCTCACCCAACAGAAAGAGGAAGGGCCCAAGAATAACAATAGGGTCAAGGCCAGCAGAAACAAGGTGTCCAAATATGATGAACAGAAAGACCACATGGATGCTTTCCTAGAGAGATATGAAAGATCTGCCCAAATTGGAACTGGGACAAAGGTGATTGGGAAGTCTGTCTTAGTCCCCTTCTCACAGGAAAATGCCTACAAGTGTATGCAGGCATGACGTCAAAAGATGCCATGGACTATGACAAGTTAAAAGTGGCTTTCCTGAAATGCTATGAACTTACCAAAGAAGGTTTTCATCAGAAGTTCAGAGAAGTCAAACCTTACACTGGAGAAACCGTATTTCAGTTTGTGACACGTCTATACATCAATGCTTAATAAGATGGGCTGACATGGCCAAGTGTGAAAATAGTTTTGAGAGACTGGCAGATCTACTAATATATAAACAGTTCATGATCACGTGCTTAACTGACATGTCACTGTTTCTAAAGGAGAGAGTACCAATAGACGTGGATGAAATGATCAAGCTGGCAGAACAATATATAGAAGCCCTTTGAGAGATTACAAATGGTAAGTCTAAGGATAACCAGTTAAAGGTGAAACAAGGAATGGTTGACCAGAAACAGGTTACCATTAAAGATGACAAGAACTCAATGGACAAAAGGGAAAAAAAGTGCTTGGCTTGTTAAAAAATGGGGCACATTGCGAGATTCTGCAAGTCTGTAACCAACAGGCAACAGCAGAAATCTCACTATAATGCAGCCGGAGCTACTTACAAGAATGGTGCTGGCAAGAAACACGAAAAGAGTGACTATCACCATGGATGTTGCTGCCAAAAGAACAATAATAGATACAACTCATCAGCTTCACCACAAGAAGGAAATGCCATTTCCATGATTAAACAGTGCACGACTGATGGTCAGCTCAAGTTAGCAAATGGACCAACAGTGCCAGTAGTTATTGGAGCATGTGACAAACAGAGAGGTATGTGAAGGCTATGTCGGGAACGCGAAAGTGAAGGTCCTACGAGACATTGGGTGTAGTAGTGCAGCAGTAAGAACCAGTCTTATATCTGATGGTCAGATGATGGGCAATGTATGGCTGTTTGTGCTGATTTATGGGACAGAGAGAAACTTTCCCATAGCAAGAATAAAGGTGGACACTCCATTCTATGTGGGAGACCATGAAGCCATGTGTATAAAGGAACCAATCTACGACTTTGTATTTGGAAACATACCAAAGTAGAAATTTGGAGGAACTTGAGAGAAAGGAAACCGATGAGGCAAGAAATGAAGAGCAACCAAGACATCAAGCGCTGAAAAGTCTCGAGAGATGACATCCCGAATGTAGGTCTATGGGAACTTAATGAAGCAGAGAAGAACTATCCTTCGCTGCAGAAATGCTGGGACAGTGCCCAAGAGAAAGTCGAGCTCAAGACAAATGGGAACGAGACTTACAAAACAGAAAGCCGGAAAGGAGTATCGTATGAGATTTATCAAAGCAGTTATACTGAGGAAGTTAAACGGATTAAAGGCGGTCAGGAGCACTTCTATGACAGGAAGGCCAACGATCGATATTTCAAGGTCAGACAGAAGGTCTTAGTTCTGCTACCTACAAATAACAACAAACTCACCTTGCAGTAGAAAGGACCTTTTGAAGTGCAAGGAGTGGTCAAAAGAATGGACTATAAGGTGAAAGTGGGTGGGATGACCAAGATCTACAACGCCAATCTGTTGAAGAGGTACTTCGAAAGGGAAGAGGACCTAATGGGTGCATTTAGTGAGGCACAGGTGGACATGGCAGGTGTGGCTGTCATAGATGCAGAACCAGGAGACAGTGACTTTGTTATAGAAGATGAAAAGCTACTAGACTTAAGACCACTGAGTGGAGATGAGACATACAAGGACGTCAACATCAGTGAAGAACTGACTGTCAAGCAGAAGAAAGAGGTACACGATTTATTGTGCCAGCATACAGATACATATAGATAAGACAGACTTCATGGAACACAAGATAAAGACAAAGGTACCTTAGGCGTGAATTCTACAAGACTTAGCCCCTCAGTGGCACAGCGGTATGTCTGATGACTTACAATGCTAGAAACCGGGTTTTGATACCCGTGGTGAGCAGAGCACAGATAGCTCATTGTGTAGCTTTGTGCATAAATTCATACAAACAAAAAACAAACAATACAAGACTTAATTGTTAGTGTAGGTGTGTTGATAAGCTCAAAGCTACACATTGGGCACTCCGTGCTCTGCCCACCACAGCTATCGAAACCCGATTTTTAGTGTTGTAAGCAATCAGACTTACCGCTGAGTCAATGAAAAACACAAGACTTAATAAATTAGTACATTCAATGCTTTCAACCAAGCTTAATTACATCGAAGGCCCTGAATGGCCAGGTGGTTAGGGCGCTCGACTCGCACTCTGCGGGTCGCGGGTTCGAATCCCCGTCACACCAAAACATGCTCG